TAGACCGTGAGTGACAAAAACATTTAATTACTTTTTTTAGATTCTGTTTTATTGTTGGGGAAATTGAACTTTTTTTCCTGTCTGATAGTTATATGCGACAAAAGAAAAAAATGTATTCGTATTTAGCAGTTTTTGTTATCATGATCAAGTCACAAAGCAAAATAGATAGTATACTCGGAAATCAGTATCACAAACTGCTTTTCATGAAAAATTAAACTGATGTTTTCCTTAGATCTATTATTTCTAAAATCTTGCTTCTAGTTTCTTAGGGATTGATTTTCCGAAAACATATATGATTTGATGCAGTATTTGACACTGTTTCCCTAATATATGCTATCTATTTCGCTTTATGATTTGACCATGATAATAAAAACTGCTAAATACGAATACATTTTTTCCTTTTACCACATGTAATTATCAGACAGGAAATAAAGCCAATTTTTCCAACAGTAGAACAAAAACTGAAAAAAAATTAACTAAGTGCTTTTGTTGCTCACGGTCTAGTGATTCTAATGAGATGAGACATTTGCTTTTATCTGTCGTTAGTAAAAAAAAACCTAGATAAGCTTATAACAATGTTCACGAATACCATGCTTTGAGCTTGATGGATCTAATTATATGCGATAGGATTTTTTAGCCTTACAATGGAACTGTTTGTCATGTCAGATGATTTGCTTAACTATGTTCTGGCCAAATTATCACTCTCACCGCCGAATTAACAAATATAAAATACTACATGCCCATGGCGAGTCTGGACCGAGATATAGGATTTCCCAGTGAATTTTCTCTACAGGACCCCATTTTCTCAGCACAATCATAGTTTCGAATTTCAACTTGAAACTTTATACAAATGAAGGTCTCGATGAGATTAGTTTACAGAATAAATTTCAGAAATCTTGGGCTATTTTTCTTCGAGATATGAATTTTTCAAAATATCGGCGTTTTTCTATAGAATTTGTATATTTTAAGAGATTCATATCTCGAAGAAAAATTGCCCAAGAATTCTGAAATTTATTCTGTAAACTAATCTCATCGAGACCTTCATTTGTATAAAGTTTCAAGTTGAAATTCGAAACTATGATTGTGCTGAGAAAATGGGGTCCTGTAGAGAAAATTCACTGGGAAATCCTATATCTCGATCCAGGCTCGCTATGGGCATGTAATATTTTAAATTTGTTAGTTCGGCGATGAGAGTGATAATTTGGCCAGAACATAGTTAAGCAAATCATCTGACATGACAAATAGTTCCATTGTTAGTAACTTTACATCTTATTAAATAACATTTTTTACTCAGATTTTCATGCTGATTCAAAATATAATATTTTCCAAAAAGTTTTGTAAAATAAATGTAAAAAACGTAAATATTCAAAAAATTGTTTCAAAAGCTCTAATTTGCAGCGTAGATGTTAGCAAAAAACTACTCCGCAATAGAAAACCACCTTTGAAAAAGCAAGATGAATCTTCATAAAAGAGGACTATGGCTTTTTTGTTTTTGTAGAAGTGCAGTGTTTCTAATGAACCTTAAAAATACGGTTGTATACGACCCAACATCGTTATTTACAAACATAAATAGATTCTATATTTTTCATCCTTGGCATGCTTCACAATCATTATATAATTTTCATAACATCAAATACATATCAACTATTCCAAATATAAAAACCTAATAATAATGATGGATTTTTATAGATTTAGTTCCATTCTTAAAAAAAGAACAGTATTATTAGAAGATGCAGAAAGCCGTGAATCCATGAACTGCATCATTTATCTATATTAGAAGTACTTTTCAATCGATACTTTTCACTTGAGTTCATGATGTCTTGTTTGAAACTTTATCAAAATTATGCGTCTCAAATTAATAAGTGTCGAAGCATTCGAAAAAACCTTTGATAATTTAGCCAAATATTTATTCTTAAAAGTTAGTGTTTTCATTAATTTGAAGAAATATCAATTATGTACTAAAGTAAAGTTTCAGTTTTTGATTATAGTGTGCCAATATAGAATGTTTTATGAACTTTTTAACTTATAACGGAACGTCTTCAGATGTTCCCTTCGGATTTGAAACGCTGTCGCTTATAGATGCTATTTTATAATGGTTCAATAAAAACTCTCAAATAATTATGAGTCCTTATTGATATTTAGCTAAGCTGTCGAATTTTTTATTGAAGCTAATCTAGGTGAGTTCTGTATCTTGGCTAATTTTGAGATCAAAATTCTATGGCCTCTAGAAAGTAGACATATTAAAAGTTTAATAGCTTTGACAAATGTCCATAGAAGTTCAACTTTTTTAAATATTTTTATCAGAAGACTACATAATGTCTAAATATAATAAATTATTGAAATTGAAAGGGGACACCTTAGGAGATTTTCTCATTAGTTCTTGTCTGGCGTTATGTGCATCATATAAACTTGAGTTAAAATGAACTTTAATACCCATCATGAGAAAGAGAATACTTAGTTGTATTTCAAAAACTATTCTATTAAATTTTGATATTGATATAAAGTTAGAAAGAAAAGTTGAATTATTGAACAGATTATTTATTTTTGATATTCAAGCAATAGGAAATGAAAATAAAAATTCTTTTAGAATTTCTATCACTCTATATTGTATTATGAGAAAAGAACGCATAATGATCAAGGACAAAACATTTTTAATAACGCAATTACATAGCAAAGATCATCTAGCATTGACATCCGTTATATTTCGATAAATAATTTAAATAGTACTTTAATTAGAATTTACTATTTATGTAAAAAAAAAACAAGGAACTCAAAGTTTAATGTCCTGTGGAAATAACTTCCTCAATATCCGTTTTCATTTGAGTTCTGGAATTCCTATTCCTATTTCATTTTCATGTTGGAGAAAACTTATCGCTAATAGATATTAGCCTCTTGTAGCATTATTTTTTTTGCAATATGATGTTCCTATTGTAGTAATTCATCAGCAAGTACTCATATTATACTTAGACTAAAAATGTCACGATACATTAGGAGTATGCTTGCGATCAGAGTACTAGGTCATAGTATTCATGTTGAGATATAAATATTAGAAATAAGTGCTTATTTTTCAATGTTTAATAATTTGAATAAATACTCTTATGTAAAATACTTCTTTGTTTTGTAGTTTCGTTTTATTTGAATATAAATAGTAAGTAGAAATGTGTATAATACAAAAATTTATTAATAATGAATTTAAGAATTAGTATTGTTAATCTTAATATATTTAATTGTCTTAACTAAATACAATTAAATATACTTTTTTTTTTCTGCTGATGACTAATTTTTATCTACGTAGTGACATCTAAACAATGTATAAATAAATTATTTACTATTGTTGTTCTTGTTCTAATAATTTACATAATACAAGTATATTTTAATATACAAGAATAAATAATTTATTAAAATTTCAAATATTGAATTTCATTTGATAAGTACCACAAATTGAAATAAAAAAAAAAAATCTATTTACATTCATTTAAAAAGTCAATATTCATTAAACTTGAATGAATGGTTCATTAGACGAGAATAGATTCACAAAAAAAAACAAAGAAAAGAATCCATCAAGTCACTAAAACAAGTTTTTTTTACTTTTCGTTTCATTTGATCAAATAGTTATTTTTTTTTTTTTGAATACATCACTTAAATTTATTTCTATATATAGGGTTGGCCAGTCTAGCCGGATGTCCCTATGCCTTTTTCCGTCATTCAGTTTCTATAATATATCAGAAAAATCTAATTTTTATAATAATAATAGTACTTGCATAATGCTAATGATCTGCCAAGGCTAGGAAGTTTATGTCTTGGTTCAAATCACAATCATTAAGTGTCTTTAGAATTAACTGTTGGTAAATATCAAAAGGCTTTGAAAGATGCTTTATCGATTTCGTTTCAAACAAGAGATAAATTGTTTCTCTTTGGCGGATCATCAGTATTATATGAGTACTATAACTAGCAAAAAAACAGATATTTCTGACATATTGTAGAGACGAATTGATTAAAAACGGGATTGGAACATCCGGCCAGACTGGCCAACCCCATATATAAGTGTATCAATATGTTACTAAATATTTTATGAGTGATCATGTTTCCACCTGTAATTAAATGTGATGTTTACAGAGTAGTTCATATGAGTACTCGCCTAAATACAAAACTAGCGTCTATTTACATTAAATTGCTCAAGTAGCTGTGTAAGTAATACTTCAAGGGTTCATATTAACAAATGTTACTTGCTCGATCAATAGGTTTAATACGAGTTGTTTCAAATAAAAGATAATATTCGAATTTAGAATATGTAGGTGACAGCTTTCAACTCATACAAACTAGTTAATCATATCAACTAATTCTTGGAGTTATTGAGTAAACCTTCTAACAGCTTTAGTCATTATTTAATTACTCATTGATTATGAATGAATGTTTGTGAAGGATTATTAATTACTCTGAACAACTCTAGTTTCACGCATTGAAATAGCACTGTTATCAGCACAGTAGAAATAAAGGAAGACAGATTATGTAAAAATCAAGAATTATTAAATAAACATATTTTAATGTAGATGAAAACAAGAAAAAAAGAAACATTTTAGAATATTCATATGTGACAGTCGTTTATATTTCCTTGTTTTCATTGTCGAGATCTCCATGGGAGTTTATGTTAATGTAGAGAATAAGTTTGAAGGAACATGTCTTACAGCAGAAACTTTTTCAGGATACATTTTTATCATAGATAATACTTTCTTTTTTTCTCCATTTTAAGTCGAATATAAGTAAATCAAAAAACAATTCTTCTCAACTACAGTTTTTTTTTGACATTACAAAAAAAAAACCTTTTATTGTTGGATAACATTTCGTTCGTACTTGATAGATATCTTATATATAGAAGGGATATGACAATGCTGCATGAATGAACATCATTAATTCTATTTAGAATTTCCTTTAAAAGAAAAAGAAAAAAAAAACTAATCTTCTTAGAAAAAGGAAGATAAAGTCATTTGAAAATCTTCATCATGGCTGAACATATCGACAAAACTCGTCTTAATAATGATTTAAATTATCGTTTTAATTATATATCAAGATTTATTGGTTTTAATCAAGATGATATTAAAATACTCAATACATTAGCACCTATCATATGTCCACTTCTTCCAGCTATAGTTGAAAAAGCTTATAAAAAATTATATACATATGATATAACAAAAGATTATTTTCATATGCGTAATGATGGTTTTCAACAATTTTTACCAAATAAAGATTGTGGTATAACATTAGATTCCGTACAAATTGATTATCGTAAAGATATGTTAAGTGTATTTTTAAGACGTATATTAACACAAACTGATTGGAATGAATCATTTCTTCAATATTTATCACGTGTTGGAGAAATTCATACAAATAAAGGTGGTTCATCATCAATTAATGTTGATTATATACATATAAATGCATTACTTTGTACTCTTGAAAATATATTTATTGATACTATATGGTCTATAGATAGTATTGAATTTAAAAAAAAACGTGAAGCATTACATGCAGTAAATAAATTTTTTTGGATACAAAATGATTTTTTTACAATGCAATATGGAATATCATTAAAAGAAAAACAATTATCTATTGTACCGAAAATTAATTTTTCGAGTTGTTTTTTTCGTTAATTTATTAATTTAACTATGATGTTGTTTTTGTCTTTTTATTGTAAATCATAGTATAAAAAATAAATTATAATATACATGTCGCTAATTAGTTTAGTTTTTTTTTTCTTTTTTAATTCTATAGATTACTTACAAAATTTAATTTTGGATTCAATTTTGACATAGTAAATTTAGCTTAAAAGAAAAATGTGATCTTACTATTGCACTCATATCCATGAATATGAACTTTTATATTGTTGTTAAAAAAGGACAAATTTCTATTTTCCTAAGCATATCTGTCAGTTTCAGTTGTTTCAAAAGAAATAAAAGTACAAATATTCTGTATCCGACAATATATGTATAACTAATTATGAAATTGTATATAGAAAGATTATTTGATACGTTCGTTTTCTTTCCAGATAATCTCTTATCAAA